CAGCCCGCGGCACGTTGCCCGCCGCACCTCCAGCCAGAGCTACGGGGCCTTTTCCTCCGCTTAAGTCACGGATTGGGCACCCAGCCCCAGGGTGGGGAGGTCTGGACAAAGGAGGGGAATGAATGGGCCCAGGGCAGACCCGACCGAGGGGTCTGCTACGCGAGGAAAAGAGCCTCCATCCAGCCTGACCCTTCCCGAGAGGCAGGGTCCGCCCCGCCCCCAGCACCTCCAGCTTCAGAAGGCTGTCATCTCTGTCCCCTCCGGCCTGGCAGGCAGCCATCGCTGCACACAGCCCTCTCCTAGGATGGAGTCTTCCATCTTGCCCACACCGGAACCCCATTAGGCAGGGCCTCGGTTGGGTTCCCCATCCCCCACCCTGGCCTCCTCTTTCTACGCAGACCTGGTGTCCTGGGCCCAGCCCCGCGCCCCAGGCCTCAGCATCAGGCATATTCTGTCCCCTGCTCCAGGGCTGCCCCGGGTACCCCCAGCCCCTGGCATCCTTCCTGCCCCAGCGTCCCCCACCACGCACACGTGTCCACAGAAGAACCTAATTCTGTTCTCCCATCTCCCTAGAGCCTGGAGCTCAAGGCGAAGATGCTGCTGGGGAGGTGGGGGCAGGGAGGGGAGGTTTATTCCTTGGAGTTGGAGGGGGAGTTCCCAGGCCCTGGTGTGAGGATGCTTTTGCCTACAAAGTGGGACACAATAAGGGAGGGATTTTCCTAGGAATTTGGGGGTGACTATAGGGGCCACAGTATCCAGACAGGAGGGGCATCCCAGTGAGAAAACGCTCCCCAAGGGCAATGGCGGCCGGGTGAGAAGGGGGAGGGGCAAGGCCCCACCCTCCCACCTGCTGCAGCTGCCCCCTCCCCAGCTGGCCCCCTCTTTTGTGCAAAGCCACACAAAGGACAAGGGGCCCCGGTCGGCCTGGCCATCTGCTCCCAGCAGCCTGAAGGCTCTTAAAGAGACAGCACCCCCTCCCTGCTGCCCTGGGGCCGTGGGGCCGAAGGGAGTCGGCTGCTCTGAGGGACCTGGTCTCCCTCGTGGAGGGACCAAATCCCACACACTCTCCCTGGCGCCCCAGCCCCGAGGTCGGGCATCACGCTCCCCCAGGGAGGGCGCAGAGGTGCCACGTGGCCAGGGAGGGACCAGGGGTGCGGGAGGGAGAGGAGAGGCAGCGGGGGAACCAGACCCTCCGCCCCTACAGCTTAGGCAGCGGAGGGGCCAGCACAGCTCCAAAACGGGGACCGAGAACTGGGGTCCCTTCCCTCCCTGAGGCCATCTCCGGGCTTGGTGAGACCCGCTCCCCGTTCTGCCACCATTCTCACGGAGCGCTCCCCTCGCCCTTCCTGGGGAGGAGAACAGGGCCTCCTTCCTGGGGGCTGCTGGCCTCCACACCGCCGTGCAGCAACCCCGTGATCCGGGCACATTTATTTCCTGCATTTTCCCGTGGAGGAAACTGAGGTCGCTCGGCCCCCACCCAGGCCTCCTCAAAGCCTTGGCCGTGTCTGAGCCGCCTCCCGCCCGAGGCCTAGATGAGGCTCCTCACCCCCGAGATCCCCAGGGAAACCAGACCAAATCCCTTTGTCACTCGGCTAGGGACACACGTTTACATTATTTGTGTGACTGTTTATATCTTGTCTGTCTCCTCGCTGGGCTGTAGGCAGGGACTGTCCACCGTGCTCATTGCTGCGAAGTTCTCAGGGCCTGGCATGGAGCAGGCACTCGATATTTGCTGAAGAATAAATGCCAGGAGCCCCAAAAGCCCTCCTCTTCCCGGGGCTCCTCTGTCGCCTGCCTGTTAGGCACCTTGCCTCCTCCCTCCTCAAGGTGAGGCAGAAGGGACAAGAGTTGAACAGGGATGCTGGGAGAGGGAAGGAGGGTGACCTTGAATGAGCCACCCAGCCACCGGCCTCCCCTCACTGCTCCCTCCTCCCAAAGGCGGGGCAGCGCCAGCCAATCCTGAACTCACATCCCTGCCAGACAGACTGGGACTGTCCCGAGCTCTGGCCGCTGCGGTGTGGTGCCTGGGACCCCCGCCAGGCCCTCCGTGGCCACAGCCAAGGGTCTAAGCTTGGGGAGGGAGCAGCAGGCAGGCAGGCAGGCAGGCAGCCCTGGGGTGGGGGAGGGAGGGTGGCAGGATCTAAGCAAAAACCTGGCTGAGCCATAGGGGGAGCTGGGAGGAGGTGCTCCCTGGACTGGAAGCCTGGGGAGAAGTGAATGGGGGACGGGGGA